TTGGAATTTATTTTAAAGTAACTGTAGCCTTCAGATATAGGTCACTGATTGTACATCAAATGATAAGTGTGCATCATCCATTATCACCATTCTACTCATCATGGTTTTCATTGTTATTGTCAAAACCATATCAACACAATACTTTTTACAGTGTTTCTCCTGTAATATAAACCTTTTTCTTAAACTATGATTCCCACTCATTGTCTGTTAAACTCTTGTTGCTTGTCTATCATACTTGTAATAATGTAATATGAACTTGTTAAAATATTTTCTTAATGTTTAAAAATTAAAGTGAATGTCAAGATTCTTGTATGTGTTGACCGTTAATTGTCAAGATGACAGCTTAGAATAATATCATTACCACTTTGTACTAGCTTTGTATGAGCAATGTGTGTATGAATAAGAATGTATGGATTCCCCTGAATCAGCCTCACAGGTTGATGGTACAATTTACATCCATATACATTCCCATGTTGTATGGTTGAGCCGTTCAAACATAGTGTATACACTAAATGTATTCTGTTTTGCACTGTTAGTACATGTTCAAGTCCACTGTCAACAGTCTGTTTACTCTCCCTGAATAATATTTGTATAAACTTGGCAAAGGTTATTTCAGTGATTCTAATTTACAATTCTTGATTATGTTATTATTATTTGTTAGCCTCCATAATCATATGCAATTATAATGTTTGCTTATAATGGCTTGTGAGATCAATGGCGACCTCATAAAGGTTACCTCTGCATATATGCAATATACACTGATATACTGAATGTATCACATTGTGTACTCATGTGTGAAACCTGACAGTGACACTTGTTATTGCCATGCTATACACTTAAGGCTTAGTGTAATGAATACAATGTGAAATTCTGAATTGATGGTACACATGTTATTAATGAATTTAGTTGAAACAAAACAGCATGCAAACATTTAACTATGTATGTGATATTCGTACATGTAGACAGATGTGACATACATCTTTGGGTATATCTGTGAAGGCTCCTCATTTTAATTTAAACTATAAACCATTTTAATTACATGTCAGAACATTATGAAAATAGCAGTAAAAGTTTTTTTGGCGTCATACAACACGAATCACGAATCATCATATCGCGACAATTTCTAGCAGTGAAAGTTTATATATAAAAGTAATATTACAGTATTGTGAGTAATATCGAGTAGCCATTTGAAAAAAAAGCCATAATAGGTGTCAGCAAGAAAGGTTTCATTGGTACAAATAGTTGCTTCAGTGCTAGACTAATTGCTGATGGTGTGCGTGTATGATAGACAGTACACAGTGTTAGAATTGACACCTTGGCCAAATAGTGCATTGAACTGTCATGATGGGTGTCACCATCTGCCACCTTATACATACCATCATGTAATTTGCAAACAGGAAACAAGACAAAATTATTATCTGTGCTGTTACATATTTACAAATTTACCTGTCTGCGAATTGGACGCTCCCCGAACTATATACATGTACATGTAAATATAGTATTTTCATTGGTTTGGTTATTAGTATCAGTTGATTTGATTGGTTTGGGGATCAGTTGATTTGATTGGTTTGGTTATCAGTATCAGTTGATTTGATTGGTTATTCTTACAGAATCAAACTGATTGGATCTTACTTTTCCTTTCTGTGTTTGAGTAGAAAAATCTTAAATATCTCATCACTTGTATGAAGTATGTGACAGTGAATTAGCTTTCAAGACTGAGTACTGCAATGATGAGTACATGTATATGTCTTATCAATGGCATCTTCAATTATGTAAAAGTCACTTATTTAATGGCACTCCCAATCAGACTGTGTTCAATTAAATGAGCATTACACGATCTTTTAAAATCTCCATAACAGCAGAATTGTGCTTGTAATTACATTGT